GATGAGAGGCGAAACATCTTCGAGTATCTTCAACTAGTGTCCAGTTGCCAATGATTTAACCTTCCTTGAATATATAGTAATGAGTGGAAACTAAAAGATGTCCCACAAATCTAAAACTGTATTGTGTTTATTGAAAGCACTCAAACTCGGCTTAAACTTTGACGCGAGGTTTAAAAGTTGGATGAAAAAGAGAAACTTTTTTTATGTGAAAAGCCGCAGGTTTCCACGTTTTTCTTCTTAATTTGAATTCCTGACAACATTCATTCATTATCAATTATTCTTGGATGTACCACCAATGGGAGTTTTAAAGCATGATCACAAAATTAAAAAAACACAAACATAAAATTTAATAAATAAAGCTTGCCTAGCTAAAATAGCGATAAATGATCCAAAGCAAGTTTCAAGTTTATGTTAGCTGATTTTCATAAAACTGAACTGAAACCAAAGGCTGCCTTAAAGGAAGTAAATCTAATTTAATCAACATAATTTGGGGAGCTGCTTCATCACAGAAGACCGACCAAAGAATTTCAAGTTGTCAAAACTTGTAATAGCAGGAAAACATAGTGTTAGGTCCAAACACACACCTCAAAAGAAATCACTACAGCACCGAAAACGACAAGGACAATAAATAATTTAGCTTCTCACTTGTTGAAGTTTTCTCTTCTATATAGGGGTGAAGACTGATGAGGTCTGTCCGTGTGCAGAACTGCTGCAGCTTATTCACTAGTTATAGCTTTGGGAGATTCAACACCACTCAGTGTTCAGGCCTCTTAAAAATTCACATGTGCACGTTTCTATGAAATGAGCACAAAATCTTAAATTGGAGGTTTAAAATTATTTAAGGTGGATAAATTTCTTTCCCATGAAACATACTCTGTAAATTATTTCTAAAAAAGAAAGAATGATCTTGTTATTCTAAAGATGAAATGAACATTGTTATCATTGCAGCAGCTGGCAGAAAGTTAAGTTAGAGTAACACATTCTCACTCCCAACTAGTCATATACTGAAGCTTGGTCAAGGCCCTTTGGTGTCGCTTTTTAATGCCCTGGATACCCCTTTAGCGTCATTTTCAGACGTTTAGGGCACCGGGGTCACGTTAGCAATGCTTAGCAACAATGCAAATGCAACGTCCTGTTACACTTTCAAAATAAAACGCTAGTGTTTCGAAACATCGTCATTTTGAAACGGCACATTATTACATACATCATATTAAAGTTGTGAAACATTGCAATTTGGTTAGGTTTAAGCGCAAAAACTATTTGGTTAGGTTTAGTCAACAAAAGAACGTCACTTAACTTATATAAAAATATTTTATGTTGACTTTTTGTTTCATACGGCACATGAACCCTGCTCCCCTGGTTCAAAGTCGGGGTTCTGGCCCTCCATCCACCCTGACCACCTCCTTACTCAGTCTGTTCTGTTAAATATCATATACCTCCCTTTACCGTCAAAAACTGACGCTACAGGGCTTCCCACCACTGGGTTGAACTATGACGCTATAGGGACCCCCAGTGCGTTATAAACTGACACAGATAGGTCTTGACCACGCGTCCATAAATGACGAGTCGGGGAGTGAGAATGGGTTGGTTAGAACCAATCCAATAAAACAACAGCTAGCAAGCGAAGTTCTGACTCCTCCCTTAGTTCTGAAGTATGTTGTGATGGCTGATCTTACGAATTGTGTCTCATCAAGATCAGGCTGATAAATTTTTTATCAACAATGGAAAACAGCCATTACCACTTGGCCAAGAGTCGAGTCAAGGGTCCATCAGAACTAGTCGGAACGACGACCATGTCAGAATCGGAAGTGTTAATAGTTGTTCTTAACAGCTACACTGAAAAGCGCCGTGAAAAGCCAGCCCTCACAGAGATTCATAGTGTTGCACTCAGTTGCTCTCATGAACAGTGACATAAATAGTGTTGTTTTGAAATGATCAAACACATTTTGAAGAACCATACTGGCCATTTAAAACTCTGTGTGCACATTCCTAACTGACCAGACTAACAAAACAACCAACATCAGAACAATTGTTTTAGATCTAATAACTACAAGATCCTTATCTCAGAATTACGAGACAGGAATCTCAGGATTATGAGGTATAAAAGTCTATAAAAGATACAAGGTCTTTACATATTGTTTCTATTGACAGAGTAATGTCTAAACATGTTGAGGTGAAAGTTTAACTATGAAAGACCTTATCCTGAAAATCAAACAGCCGTTCAGTCTCCTCTACCTACTGTTTCGCTTTCCTGTTTCAAAAATTTCATTTTCATTTTCCTCAGTTTTGTCAAACTTTATCAGAATTTTCAGACTTTGTGCTCATTTCATAAAGTTGTTGTGGATTCTATGCTCCCAGGGCTCTTTCTTCCCCAGCTCAATATGCTCTTGATATGACACAATGAGGAGACCAGCAATGTTTCTTCCCCATAGCTCAAATGTTAAATGTCAACATGGGTCAACATTCTGAAATCACCCACTTACAGCTTATACAGCTTACTGATGTGATACTCTTGAAACCCACACCCTCAAATTAGCAGGCAAATTTAGACACTGATGGCTTAACATGTCCATATCTCTTAAGTTCTTTTGCAATTTGAACTAATTAGCCCTTACTTATAGCCCTTTTAATAGCACGCAGGAAACATAGGACCCAGGGAACATAGCACCTAGGGAACATAGGCCCACCGGGAACACAGGACCCCAGGAATATAGCACCCCGGGAACATAGGACCCGGAACATATGACCCCGGAACAAAGGGATGAGCCCTCGACTTGTTCCATCCAGGCTCAAGCTGGGCATAAACAAGAATTACTGTTTATTACCTTTCTTTTTCAGACATTTTCAATTATTTTAAGGGAGTATGTTTTTAAAGGCCAGCTGTATTTTGCAAATAATAAACAGGCCAACCGAAGACTTCAAAACTGCAAATAAGTAAAGAAACCCGAGCAAAGTGTCTTTGAGTTAAGTACATTATTCAATTATTTTACATTACGGATACGTTTTTATACCCAGCCCTTTGACAGACAGTCTCAGATACATCCTTGCACGCACACACACGCACGCACACACACACACACACACACACACACACACACACACACACACACACACACATCTAAAGCAGTGTTCTGTCAAAGCTTTGCTCTTACTGGGGTTTTTTGTTGTTATCATCAAACAAACCTCCAAACCACAAACCATAAAAGACAGACCAGTATGACCAGAATGCAAGATAGTAGTAGTAGCAAGTTAGTAAATACACACGGATGACTCATCTGCAC